TGGCTGAAGAATTTTTATTACTTTTATGTACAGAAAACTTGGTGGGGTACACCTAGCCCAGTTTGGTGGCCAGTTCTTTCGCCTTTGCCTTTTCCAGCTTGGCAATGCGAGCCACTGATTTTGGACCCAGGACATTGCCTCCCCAGTGACGGCGGATCTGTAGTAAGAAAGGAGAGGCAGTCAGCCTGGCACGTCATTTCCTGAGGCTTTCAGAGTGCATGGCTTCATGCAGTTCCGTTTAGTTGTTGCAAGTTGGGCGACAAATACAACTGCTCAGGAAGAGCCAAGAGCCAGCCAGCTGACTAGAGGCGGACTTCCCAGAGCAGCTTTTTGCATGAATCTGCTCCTTACCTCGTCGTATCTGTCATTGTAATTGGTCCTGATGGCTTCCACCAGCTTGGCCAGGGCTCCTTTGTCTTCCCTGACAAGGCAGAGGGGGAAATGTGGGTCACTGGCCTCTCAGGCTTCCAGAAAGCAGAAATGACTCCACTTCTAGCTCCACATACAAGCCTTTTACCTCAGATACAACATGACCACATGGTTTATTCAGGTGAAGAAATTCATAACCATCACTGGCAAAGGCTCAAAAAACGTATTCTTTCAAAGTTTAGTCTTTGAGGAAAGATCCTGAACAATTAAGTGAATGTGGGGTGGTGGTGGTGGTGCCCCCAGGGACCCTTGGGAGCCTGGGGCTACACTGCACACTTACGAGTTCACCTGCGTGAAGGCAACAGTGGTGCAGGTCTTCCTATGGACCAGGCGCCCCAGCCTGGCCTTCCCCTTGATGATGCAGTAGGGAACCCCCATCTTCCGACACAGGGCAGGCAGGAAGACAACCAGCTGGAAGACAGCATCGTCAGCTTGAGTGTATTCCAACCAAAAGCACTAACTTAAAAGCTAATGTGGCAGCAATTGCTCAGGGTTAAAAAGCTCATGTACTTGCACTTCAAGGTTAATTCAGTGAAAAATTCACATCATTGCAAGAGCCACGAATTGGATCCCCTGTCAGTACTGTCCTCAGATGAAGAGCAGACAGCCCCTGCCAGCCCACCACAATCTCTTAACCGAGCAGGCTCACTGCGGCTTTAAGCTATATTCTGAGTACTGACAAAGGCCCAACCAATCTAAGTTGAGCCGTCAACGCTGAAGAATGAATCAGACGTACCTCAATGGGGTCCACGTCATGTGCGATCACCACCAGCTGAGCCTTCTTGTTCTCCACCAAGGTGGTGACAGTATTAACCCCTAGAACACACAACCCATTAGCATCAGAAGGGTGGGAGCTGCTGTCCACAAGAGCAGTTCTACTGTGGGCCCAGCTATGGACTCAGGGTTAAAAAGCTCGATTTCACTCTTCACAGCAATTTCAGCTGAAGAAATTCATGCATCACTGCCAGCAGCCCGCCCCACCATTCACCCTCTTCAACATGGGGGCCACTCACCTGCTCGAAGGACGGGTGGCCTCTTGGTGGGGACATCCCCTTTGCCGGCAGCTTTCTTCTCAGCTCGGGCCAGCAACCTCTGTTTCTTCTCTTGTTTCGTCTCTGGTCTGTACTTGTGGGCCAGCTTTAGTAACTGAGTAGCTGAGAAAAGATCGTCAGTTCAGGCTTGTAGCGTAAGCTGTACTCTGGGTCACTTAGTGTAACAAACGCTAAGTCACTGTCCTAAATGAATACAACCGCAGTTCAAAACATGTCAGGTCACATATGGAACCTCTTTACTGTGTCGTTTCAGAAACTACACAAGGAATCCTAAATTTGAATAAGCCAACCTACTGAAAACACCCACTACCCTTCAAAGGCCTTAGATCTGGCACCGTCCAAGGAAAGGTGGCAACCATGCCCAAGCCTGAGAAATCCCTTCCCAGTGTGGGTTTTATGCCGGAACCTCACCTGTTTGGCGGTCTAGGGCCTGAGTGAACTGGTTAATCGCGGGAGGCACTTTCAGCCGCTTATAGAGGATAGCCCTTTGCCGCTGCAGCCGGATGTAGCGGGGCCATTTGACAAAGCGAGTGAGGTCCCTTTTGGGCTGGATGTCCTGTCCTGAGAATTAAAAGGCACCACCGTGAATGAGGCTCAAATTCTTTGTCAAGTCCACATCTATGCCCACTCAGGAGGGTGTAGGTGCATCAGCGATCTTGGTGGTTTACTACGTCATCACCATCTTTCAGGCAGCAAATTCTTACATCATCTGCACACAAACACCCGGATCACGGGGTGGGGGGAAACTGGCGGCACCCCTCCTCATTCAGCAACCAACCAAAGCTTCATGTTCCCACTGTAATCAAACTGCTTCTGCTCCAGGAGCAGGTTTTCTGGTGACCAAGGGGAACCCCAAAAGGCCAGTGTCTGGACTCCACGCTGACACATGTCAGATGCTCACAGGGAGGCCGTGAAGGACACATCATCGTCGCCTCCCCCTTGAGAACTGAGCCCAGCTTATAGCTAGAAAGTGGCAAAATCCGGGAGTCCCAGTCCAGGCAGCCCCAAGTCCAAACCCACTAAAACCCAGTAAACATGATGTGTTTTTCTGTCCAGTAAACTACTATTTCTCACCGGGGAAAACGTCTAAAAATCTGTTTTCAACATTTCCCGTTGCTCACTCACCAATGCCAAAATTCTTGGGCCTTTTCTCAAACAGGGGGTTTACCACCTTCTTGGCCTCCTGCTTCTTCACGACAGCGGGGGCGGGGGCCACCTTCTTCCCCTTCGCCTTCTTTCCCTTCGGCTGAACAGAACGAAAGCCCAGCTAAGCCACCGCCTCCTCTGCTCGTCTCCCTGGAGGGCGGGCCACGGGATGGCTCCGAAGACGAGGGGGTCGGTGGGCCCCGACCGGGCCGCACGGAGAGGCAGTCTGGCTCCGGGCTCAGGATCGACCCCGCTCGTGCATCAGCGATCTTGGTGGTTGGGGACGTCCGCACCGCCATTCAGATAGCAAATATTCTCTCACATCATCTGCACGAGCACCGAAGGCCCCGCCACCCCGCGCCCCTCCCCGCGACAGACGCGGCCCCGTAGGAGCCCGGAGTAGAGCAGGCTCCAAACAGCAGAGCGAACTCAGCACCCTTCGCCCAAGGCCCCTAAGGCGGCCCCCGCGCGCAGGAGCGCCTACGGCCCCGTCCGCTCCAAGCCCTGCATTGCGGCGCTGCGCTCCCGGATCCTCCTCCCCAACCCCGGCCCGGCCGCCGTGGGGTCTATCCTGCCCCGATAACTCTACACTAGGCCCCGCGGGACTCCTCTCCCACCGGGTGGTGGAGGGACCCTGGCGTGGCCGCGCCCCGAGGAGGATGGCGGCGGATAAAGCCCAGACCCAGAGCCAACACAGCAGACTAACAGCCCACTCACCATCTTGAACGGCGGGCGGAGAGAGAAAGAAAAGGGAATTGTGGGTAATATGTATGCGATCTCCGAGATCGCGAGAACTGGCGCCTGCGCGGGATTTCGGATTTAAAGCCGCAGGACTCCTTTCTCCTGCTCCGCGGTCGGGGGCGGTGCCTAGAGCGAGGCGAAGGGGTCGGAGCTGCCGGCAGTCTGCGCGGAGAGGGACCCGGGAGCCAGGACTTTCCGGGAGGGGCGCGCGCTCGTCCCCACCCCGGCCAGGTGTCCGCCGGGCCCCGGCTCTGCGCACCAGGTGTGGGCGTTGGGGCTGCGCGGCGGGGTTGGCGTCCTTCCCGTGTGATTTACCTCAAAGTGGCTTTAAAACCTCGAGCTCGGGCTCTGGTTCGTGCTCCAGGGCCCGGGCTGGGGATCACCCTGCCCAGAGCGCGCAGCCCGGAGGCGCCTGGCGCGAGGTGGGAGGGTGGTCCCAGCAGAAACCCCGGAGCGGAGGAGCCCAGAGGCCTCGTGGGGCGGCCCTCGGGGGTCCCGGCTTGGAGACCCCCGGAGGCCGGAGGGGGGAGTGCAGGCAAAGTGACTTCGGAAGGGGTAGGGTAGGTGAGGGGAGGATGGGGGGTGGTGGCGGGGAGGCGGCTGGCAGGGGCAGGTGGAGCGCCTAAGGCCTCTCGCGGACGTGCGTGGGCCCGGCCTCTGAGAATACTGCGCCAGAGCGGGGCAAGGTGTTGTCTGCGGTCCCAGGGAGACAGCCGGGGGAGACCCAGCAGGGCACCAGTGTGCGAAGAGCTGGACGAATGAGTCTGGCAGAAGGGGGATCTCTGGAGATCTGTACGTCCTGCTGGGGCGGGGGCATGGAGGGTGGGTGGCTGGGATGCTCACATCAGACTCTGGGTCCCAGGTGCCCGCTGCCCTGCCCGAGGCCCGGCCATGGCCCAGCAGAGAGCCCTGCCGCAGAGCAAGGAGACGCTGCTGCAGTCTTACAACAAGCGGCTCAAGGACGACGTCAAGTCCATCATGGACAACTTCACCGAAATCATCAAGACCGCCAAGGTGGGCGAGGCCGCCAGTCTCCTGCCCCTTCTGAGACCAAGGGAAGTGGCAGGGTCTGGAGGTTGTGGACAGTGGTAAGCGGAGCCGGGGTGTCTGCTTTCAGCAGCAGCATCCACTAAACATGCGTGCTCCCTGCGAGATGGTGGGGATACAGCAGTGAACCCACACACAAGGCCCTTGTCCCCACGGGGAGGGTGGCTGGGGGACTGACAATAACAAGTCAATAGATAAATAAACAAGCCAGTGAATTACGGTCCTGGTGAGGCAGTTGTAGGGGACTCTGGTCCAATTGCCAGGATCCGACATCCAGCACCACTTACTAGCAGAAGGGTTTGAGTGAGGACTTGGTTTCTCAGTGCCTCAGTTTCCCCTGCATCATAGGGTCCTTGTGATGACCAGATGAGTTAGTTCATCTGTGTAAAGCAGTTACTGTGGGAACTATTGCGAGTGAACACGGACAGGTAGAGGAGCTGGGGAAGGCCCCCCCCAGGGGGGCAGAGTGACCAGCGTCTGGTTTGGGTCCCAGCAAGCCCACTGATGCTGCAGCTGTCCGGAGTTGGGTGGTCTCTGCATGACGGCTGCAGACCTTAAAGGCTTGTCTGAGCATTACTAGTGTTGATGAAAGCTGGCATTTATTTAGTGCTCACTTTGTTGTCAGGCCGAGCTGTGAGGCCCCTTGTGCCCGGTGCTGTTGAACCTTCCCGGGGCACCACTGCTCCCCCTCCACTGCAAGAGGAGGGGGCTGAGGCTCAGAAGGCACCACCGCTCTCCCCTCCACTTCCAGAGGAGGGGCTGAGGCTCAGAAGATCTAGCAGCTTGCCCAAAGTCATTCTGCTAATAACTGGCACGGCTGAGATTTGAACCCAGGAAGTCTGGCTCCTAACTACGAAGGGGGCCGTGATCCCTGCCCCTATTCTGGCCAAGCCACCGTGGAAACCCTGGCCTGGTGTGTGGGTTGGAGCAGTTCATAGCCTGGACCTCGGACAGTGGTTAGAAAGAGGACGACAGGCAGTCCTGGCTCCTCCATTCACCATCTGAGACACCTTGAGTGCACCCTTCGGTCTGTCCCAGCCTCAGGTTTGTCCCCCTGGACAGTGATCCAGGCTTCCATGAGAGTTTCCTAAGATAATGACGGTCCAGGGCATAACACAGTACCCGGCAACCAGGAGGTGCTCGGTAAATGGTCACTTAAAAAAAAAACACATTGTCCTTTTATTCGTCTGGTCAGCAGCTCACTGAGCACCCGAGCTAGTGACACAGCCTGTCATGAACAGGGCTCCACGCCCCAGAAAGAATGTGACTGAGACCTCCTGCACCTGGGACAGCAGCCAGCGTCCTTAGGCCTCCACTGGGCCTGATGAAGGTGCCTGTGTCTCCTGAGAACAGAACCAGAGGGGTTAAGGTGACCGCTGCCTGAGGCTGGGTCAGCAGTGCCTGATGCGGAGGGCAAGACAGGCCAGAGGGTGTGGCGAGGGCGGGCGTGCTGCTGCCGCCGGGGCCTTACAGGCACTGGTGGGCCAGGGCACCTGATGATTCTTGGTTTTTTTTGTTTGCCCTCCAGATTGAGGACGAGACACAGGTGTCGAGGGCCACCCAAGGCGAGCAGGACAACTACGAGATGCACGTGCGAGCCGCCAACATCGTGAGTCACCAGGTGGAGGGCACAGCCCGGGCTCCAGGAGCCTTGTGGTCCCCACTGGGGTTTCCTGGGTGGGGAGGAGGAGGGCTGTCCACGGCAGCTGTGAGAGGGGCTGGCAGATAACGGGCCAGGTCCATCCTGTCCAACCACGGCCGGGCAGTGGTGAGAAAGAGGATGATTCTTTGTCAGTACGGGAAGCGAACTGCCTGATGGAACAGGATGTGCAGTTGGGTCCTTTGATCAGGATATGCATCCCTTGATGTCACAGAACAAGCACAGCAGCTACGTATTTCCATAGCTCCGGGCCCACAGGTGAAAATGCAAAGGACAGGATCCTAAAGGAAGCCCCCCAGCTGGCAAGCGTGCTGTCCCTGAGGCAGGGCAGGCGGTTAAATGGGATCCCAGTTTTATCTGGGGTTTCAGGTTTTGAGAAGCAGAACCTGTACTTGAATAACACGTGTGATTAGAGATCATCCCAGCAGGGGCACAAGCAGAGGCCAGGGGAGGGGAGAGGAGGGACCCGGGAAGGGATGGCGCTCGCCTTGGAAGCTTTTCCTTGGGCTGCGGGGGTTGCCAGGGATGCTGCCTCCTGTAGCTGACCTTCTAGTTCCCCCACGTCTCACGGCGACCCTGTGGAGGTCAGTACCGCAGCCCCACTTTGCAGGTGAGGGAACTGAGGCCATTGCTCAGCCAGCGTCAGGCTCACGGAGGCTGGCTGCGGACACTCCCTCACCCTACCTGCCCCCGTTCCCACCCCAGGTCCGAGCCGGCGAGTCCCTGATGAAGCTGGTGTCCGACCTCAAGCAGTTCCTCATCCTCAACGACTTCCCGTCGGTGAACGAGGCCATCGACCAGCGCAACCAGCAGCTGCGAGCGCTGCAGGAGGAGTGTGACCGGAAGCTCGTCGCCCTGCGGGATGAGGTCTCCATCGACCTCTACGAGCTGGAGGAGGAGTATTACTCGTCCAGGTACAAATAGGGCTGGACCCCGAGCTGAGTGGACCTGCAGTCCTGGGCCTGGCCAGCTGGGGTGGCCCAGCCCCACCTGGCAGCCCGAAGGTCTTGTTTTTCAAATCCTTCCCTGTCTTGGCAGCAGAGCCCTGTGCCTGGGTTTCAGAGCAGACCTCACGGTCAGAGCATCTGATTGACAGACAATTTATACCATCTACCGGGGCCTGGGCATCAGGATGAAAATTGCAGAACCTCGAAGGTTGGGAGGGCCGAACCAGCCTTTCTGCCTGGGGTGATGGCTGCCTCTCTCTGGGCCTGTCTGCTCCTCTTAGCTGTCTCATCAGTGTTTAAACATTCTGGCCAAGGCTGGGCTAGCTCTTTTGGCCTCCCAGGCCCACGTCCAGGAAGGAGGAAGAAAGAACCCAGAGAACGGCCTTGACAGCCAGGCCTGGGGTCCTTGGACCCCTGAGTTCCCTTTCAACTCAACTTTGTTCAGACTGGAGCCAGCCGACATGCCAGGCCTGTGCTGGGCCCCAGGTATCTGGCAGTGGGCAAGACCTGTCTCCCTGGTCCTCACGTGACCGCTTAGAATCCTGAAACCTGAGGCTGGAGGGGTCCTGAAAAATCAGAGTCCAAGTGTAACTTATGCATGGGGAAACAGGCTGGAAACTGGGAGGTCTCAGCAGACGCAAAGTCTGTGCTCCCTCTCGCCCTCGCTGCACAGTTTTTTTTTTCTGTCGTGGATTTTCAGTGCTTCTCTCTGTGCTGTGGAGGCCATGCTGGGGCCGCAGACACCCAGAGCCAGCACACCTTTGGTCTGAGGCTTGGCTTCCCTGCACTGGACTCAGTGCCCCCTTCAGGGTCCCTGCCCCTCCTGGCCTCTGTGGGAAGGGAGAGTCTCACTGCCCAGCTGGAGCGGTTTAGACCTTTCTGGAGGGTGGAGCCACGTCTCGTCCCTGATCCCATCGGCTCAGCAGACATGCAGCGAGCATTGCCTACACACCAGGCCTTCAGAGAGGGTCCAGAGCGGGTCTCACGGGGACTCAAACCTTGCTGGGACATTGCTCACAGCCCCGCTTGGTTTTGCAGAATCCCAGAATCCCTTACGTCCCTGTGTTTGTCCCTCTGCTGCCCCCAAGGGCCAGGCCCACAGTGAAACCCAGGGGTCCTGAGAGCTGAGCTTCCCACATCCTGGCTCCTGGTCCATCAGTCTCTGGTTCACCTGGATGGTTTCTGGTCTGGCCTGGGAGCCCCTCCCACTATTCCTGGTACCTCCGGAGGCTGAGTTCGTCCCTCATCTGTAAATATATGTCAGTGGCTGGGGCTCAGCTGCGTCAGGACCAGCGGGCTGTGTATTCCCCTCCCCTGGCTTATCCCCCAACACGGGTTGCGTGTGCCCCAGCCCCCTGAGCCGCCGGCACTCCAGGTGCTTCCCCGCTGCCCACACACCCATCTCCACGCTCTCTGCTCTGCTTTCTGCTCACGATTTGCTCTTTTTCTTCCTCTCACCCTCCACTCTCCTTGGGACACTGCTCTGTGTCCAGGATGGTTTCGGAGACTAAACACTGAGGGCAGGAGCACGGGAAGAAGCGAGGGGCAGGGCAGGATTCGGGAGACAGCCAGCAAGATGACTGCAGGGACAGGACCGTGCTCTGTGCACCCTCTTGACCACCTTCCAGAGCCATGCTCTTCACCTGCATCTGCATCCCAAGTCTTCTCGCAGCCCCGAGAGGCCGGCCTGGCTGTGCCTGTACTAGAGATGGGAGACTGAGTTTAAGGGGCCTGTTTGAGGTCGCACAGCTGGTCAGTGGTGCGAGACAGAATGCCAGGGCCTCTGCTTCTAACTGCTGCCCAGTTTAGGCTGAGGCCCAGCCAGGGGCAGACCCAGAAAGAAGACAGGGTCTGTGCCCTCAGGGGGCTTGCGAAGCATTAGGATCAGGGAAGGACTCTAGCAAGCTCTGGACACTGGTTCCTGCAGCTGTGAACAGAGTATGTGGCCAGGCTGGAGGAGGAAGGCAGCTGGAGCCAGGATAGGAAGTGACAGCGGGGGCTAGGAAGGCCATGTGGCAGAAAGGACATGGGTTGGTCAGTGGAAGGGACCTGCCGAGATCACACAGCCTGCTGGTGGCTGGTCCCAGTAGACTCCTTTTAGGAATCCCTGGGGGACCCTGAAGCAGGGGCAGCCCCCACAGGCCCCTCAGCCAGGCCTGCTTGTTGGAGGGGCCAGTACAGAGGAGAGGGCGGTCCGGGGTGTGGTCTGTTTCTTAACTCTGCTTCTATCTCGCTTTCCTTCCCCTGGCTTCCATCCTGCCTGCTCCTGTCTCTCCCTGGGTTTCTGGTGGTGGAAAAGCTCAAGTCTTTGCGAAGCTAATGATCTGCCTCTATGCGAAGCTTACTGGAGGCTGGACCTCGACACAGACCCTGCTGATGGCCTCTCAGCCCCTCTGCTGGCATCCCCGGAGCCCAGTGCCGGCCCCCTGCAGGCGGCAGCCCCTGCCCACTCCCACACCGGCGGCCCCGTACCCACAGAGCACACCTGAGCCTCCCAGGGCTCCCCTCCCTGGGCCTCTAGAACCTGCGGAATGAAATCCAGTGCCCCCTCTCTGGGCCCCCACAGCCTCAACTCCCTTCAGCCTTCATTCCCCCTGGGGGAGCCACTATGGCCCTGTCAGCCCAGGGACAGTCCACCTAGGAGTGTTCCCCCAGCCATTCTGGGGTTGCTGTCTTCTGGCTGGCTGGGTAGAGGGAAGTTTCCAGGACAGTTTGTCCTGTTGGGCACCTAACAGTGGGGCAGGAAGGATGCCTAGTGTTGGGAGGCCCGACCTGAGCTGTTTACCAGGGTGAGGGGAGGTAGTGCTCAGAGCGGACAGAACTAGCCAAGACCAGGTCTCCTACACAGAGCTCTGCCTGCTACTTCGCCTGGAAGCTCCCTGCGCTGACTGCCCCTGCAGGGCTATGGGTAAGCGGGACCACCTGCTCTTACAGAAGTCAGGCAGGATCCTTCCTGATTTTGCTGCTGCACACATTCTGGTTATTTTTGTAATGAGACTGTTGAATAAAACCAGCTCCACCCTTTTGCGTTGATTGGTTCCTTTTCTTGTTTGCCCCTGTCATTCTTGGACCACCTTTGGTCTCCCAGTGGCTGTCAGAAAACAGCCCCTGGTCTCTGCCTGGACAACCTTGGGCTCCAAGTCAGCCTCCTCCCCTCGGGGACTCTGGGCAAGTGGGGGCTGTTAGTTTGGGGTCATGGCTGCATTCCCATTGCCTAGAAAGTAGTGTCTAGGACGTAGAAGGGCCTAAATGTCTGGTGGATACATGAAAAGCTGCCGCCATTACTGCACTCCACGTGGCCCGGGCGCCTGTACCTCTGGTTGCACCCTCAGTCGGTGCTGTTGTTACTGGCATCTCAGGGAAGGGCGGCCACAGGCTTGGAAGGGGCTGAAGTGTGATGCCCATGGTCACGGAGCTGGGAAGTGAAGTGGCAGAACTCAGGACTCAGCCCAGAAAGAATGCCAGGCCCAATGCCTGGTGCCAGGCTCACCGAGAAAGGGTGGGGGTTCGCCAGAGGAGCCTGGACTTCACCCCTGCGCCCTGTCACCGGCGTGCTTATCTCCTTCCCATGAGGGAGATCATCGCCCAGTGTATGGAGATGGCAAGCCACGATCCGCCACACCTACACTCGCCCGGCTTATCAGCAGTTTCCACTGAAACGGTGCAGACACGTGGGCTTTCTTCGCCGCCTGTATCCCAGGGCGTAGAACCCGAGGCGCGCAGTCCTTTCCGAACGAACGCGGGCTCGCCAGCTTCCACCTGGGGTCTGAGCCCCCGAGGACTGAATTCCTGCCGGCCTGTTCTGTCGCCTTCCTGGGTACTGAACGCCTACTGCGCACCAGGCGCTGCGTCGGGGCCGCGCCCAGCCCCTACCCGCGGCCCACAAGGCTTTGCGCCCCGCCCCGCGCGCCTCTTCCGGTGGAGCCAGGCCTGGCTAATCGAGCGCCGCGCGCCGGCGGCTCGGCATTCGGCCGGAGGCGCCTGCCCACGCGGTAGTTTCCGGTGAGCTCAGTCGGGTGGGTGAGAATCGCGCAAGTTGGGGCTGGTGTGTGTGTCGAGGGGCGGCCGGTGCGGGCATCGGACCCCACACCCCGACCCTCCTTCCCCGGAGTAGGACCCCGAGCGAGCCCCGCCCGACCCCCGAGGCTTCGGCCATGGCTTCTCTGCTCGCGAAGGATGCGTACTTGCAGAGCCTGGCCAGGAAGATCTGCTCCCAGCCCAGCCCCGATTCGCAGAAGCGCAAGTCGGGTAAAGCTCAGCCAGGGGCCGGGATTTGGAGGGCTTCGGAAGGGGGCGCCCCTCCACCCACCAGCGGCGGGAGTCGGTGTCTACCCCACACCGCACCCGAGTAGCCTTCAGGTGGAGTAGACACGTAGATGCGTGAGACAAGCCTGTGAAATACTAGAAGGAAGGATTGTAAGGGATGCTTAAAGGCAGCTTCATTTCCCTTGCTCCTTGGGGGCATCAGTCTGGGTGGGGTGGGGGGTCGGAGGGATTCAGATGGGCGCCCCCCGGGCAGGAAGCTTGGAGGGGTGACCATGCGGAATGGGTGTTCTGCTGTTAGGGATCGTGAACAGGCTTGGCCAGCTCTCCACAATGGATGGAGGTGATGAGCGATGATGAAAAAAAATTTCAGCGCATTACTATGGGCCTGGTGCTGTATGGGGAGAAAGAAGAAGATGGCTCTTGCCAGTGGGGGTCTACATGGCAGGGGTGACAAGGCCACCCTCAGGAAGCAGATACACAAAACAGATGAAACAGACAAAAACTGGCCTGCAGGGAGCTGGGGATTGTAAAGTACTGCCTGGGTCCACACGAGGGAGAGAGCAGCAGGGCCTGGCACGGTACCACCAGAGAACAAAAACGACTTTTTCTCTTTATATAAGGAAAATATAGTCGTTACAGAAATTAAGTGAATTTTCTCACCACTCAGTAATAAGTTAGATCTGTGTCTTTCTGGTCTTTTTTTTTTTTTTTGAGTATTTCTCACTTCCTGAAACAATTCTCTTCCTACTTTCTGCATTCATTTTTTTCCTTTTAGATTGTAAACATTTTCTCCACCTATTAAAATGAAAGCCTGTGTCATTATTTTTGATGGCTACATTGTAGTTTGTTGTATGGCAGTGCCATAATTGTCCCTGTAGATTTAGGGTTTAAGAAATTTAGGTTTTCCTTGTTTTTCACTTAAACAATGTTATGATGAGCATCCTTGAGGCCAAATCTTTGTGCATATCCAGAATGAATTCTCAGCAAGCAGACTGCTGGGTCAGCATGTGGATGTTTTCAGGGTTTGATAAGTGTGGCCAGTTTGCCCTCTAGGAAGTTTGTGGTTCTGAGCTCAGTGGATAAGGGTCTCCATATCCTCTATCCTGATTGGCTCTGGCATCCTTCTAGCACCAAAGCCTTTACAACACCTTCCTACCTATTGAATGGATCACAGATATTGGGATGGCAGCCCTTTCTCATTTTGTGTTTCAGCTGGCAAAGCTCGAGTCTCAGAAGCTGGTGGGCCCCCAAAGAAGAAGAGGAAGAAAGCCCAGAAGAAATCCCGGGAGCGGGATGAGAAGGCTGCAGAGCCCAAGGTTCACGCCCCTGCAGAGAAGCCTCAGGCCAGGAAGCCTGCGGCAGCCCTGGAGGAGGAAGAGGCCCCCAGCTCCCCCAGGGCACCTGCCGGTGAGGGTCGGGTAGGGCCGACTGGGATCTAGGATCTAAGCAAATGTGGCCCTTCCTCTCTGGCCATGACAGCACCCTCAGGCACACTGAGACAGCATGAGACTTCCCGAAGGATGGGTTTTCAGAGGTTACATCACAGGGGCTCTGTGCGTGGACGGGATTCCACAAGTGCACAGTAGTGCCAAGCCACATAGTAACTGGGATGAAGAGGGGCAGGCCCGTGTTCCACAGAGCACCTGGAGTAGCTTGGCTTGACTGCTCTCAGGTCTCTGAAATGGTGTCCTGAGAGCTGCCTTGGGGGGCAAGGGGGCAGGGTGGGCGGCTGCAGAAGTTGGGAGGAATGGGAGATGGGTTTGGCTTGCACTGTGGGAAGAGTTTTTTCATACCACATGAGGATGTCCTGGGGATGTCAATCCAGGTTGAAGAGGTGGAGTAGAATTACTGGAAATGTCCTGCAGATCCATGAGTGGCCACTGGGGGGGGTTGTCCGTGCACGGAGACTGGGGCTTTGAAGCTGGGCCCCAGGGGAGGACACAGAAAGGTCCGGGAGGGGGGCTTCTTTCAGTCTCCCGACCCTTCCTTTGCAGATGGCCCAGCCAAAGAGCCTGAGTCTTTATTCGCCTTGGACGTTCTGCGGCAGCGCCTGCGCGAGAAGATACAGGAGGCCCGCGGCCAGGTGGGTGGGGAGACCTCCCTGGGTGCTGCCTGCAGGAGGAGACGCTGGGCTCCCTCTGAGGTCGGCTCCCAGCCCCGCCAGCCTTCGTGGGCCTGGTGGGCATTTCAGTGGAATGTGGGGCTGACAGGAGGGCCTCAGCCCTGTTCCTGCCCCTCCAGCGGGTCCTGCCAGGACCGCCGCAGCTCCATTCTGTGAGACATCAGGTGTGGTTCTCATCACCTTGGGGCTCTGGGTCCCCAGGGCCACCCGTCTTCAGCTGGCTCTGCTGTCCATGGCCTTGGAGGGAGACTCAGCTTCTTCTCTGGGGAAGCTGCGTCTGCTGAGACACCCACACCGGGCGGCCCTTCCTACAGGTTTTTCATCTAAATGTCACGACGGCCCTAGGAGGTAGGCGAGGGCTTGAGGCAAGGTGACCTCCCCCAAGTGACAGCCATGGGAGGCTCGGGCACCTGAGTCTACCTCAGCGCTTTCTGCTGAACGGCCTCACTACCCCACCCCCTTCCGCGGGGAGCTGCCCCAGGCCTCTTGCTGTGTGGGAACAGTCCACAGCTGCTTTCTGCCCTGTCCTGGGACAGGCCCGAGGGCCAGTTTCTGAGAGGTGACCCCGGCTCTGGGCCCTGCTGTCCTGCAGAGGCCCAGGGCCCTCCTGTCTGCCTGGCTGAGCTCAGGACAGTGCCCTGGTCTGCACCGAAACCGGGGCGTTCCGATCCACTGCCAAGATCTGGATGGTGGCGTTGGCCCAGCCCCCTGCTCTTCTCTCGGAAATGACCGAGGACACGCCCCTTCTTGGGTCACTGGGGAGGTTTAGCGGCCCCGTGTTTGTGACCTGCCCTGGTGTGGGGCAGGTGCCTGGAAACCGCAGGCGGTTCTCGCGGGGTCCCCTTGTGTCTTTCGGGTGCGTTTTGGGTGCTCGGGCATCTCCGAGTGGAACGCTTGTCCTGCCAGACGGGGGGCCCGAGGTTGGGAGAACCTTAGGAGCCAGCGCCCGCTTTCCCCCCAGGGCGGCGCCGAGGAGCTGTCTGCCGCCGCTTTGGAGAAACGACGACGGAGGAAGCAGGAGCGGGACCGGAAGAAGAGGAAGCGCAAGGAGCTGAGAGCGAAGGAGAAGGCGGCCACGGCCCCGGCGGCGGCGGCGGAGGAGGCCGCC